CTCCCTTCCCTATAAATAACGTTATTATACATAAATCATGACCATGTATTTATAAAACATTTTCTAATATGCAATAAAAGTGTGGAGACAGAAAAGACTGTATAAATACTCTTCAGAATAACCTTTTTTTTGGCCAAAGTTTACATACCTTCACTTTAGAGTTTTCTATCAAATGCTGAGCCATCGATTTTATCAGAACTTCAAAGAAAAACCATGAGTACTGCAGAGAAAAGAAACATTCTGTAAAATTGCAACATGCATTCAACAACTATTTCAATACAATTTGTACCTATTCTTCAGTTATGATCAGATAAGAATAGAATAAAAAGTATAGTTCAATATATACCTTAAGTAGCTTGTTGCTTGTAAGAAAGTCAGCGGATGGCTTTAAAATTGTTGTCATGGACTTTGTCAGTTCTTCATGTACTGTCTTATATTCAGAAGCAACATAGGGTTCAGCTTTATAAGCATACTTGGGGAAGGAAAACAGAATATAATGTGAAATTATGACAAGACATGACACAACTGAAATTGAACAGATGCAACTAAATTTAAATATGCTCTTTTCAGAGAAATAAAAAAGGGAAACTTTTCATTTACTTTTACCTACCTTGACATAAGATCTCAAATAGCTATCCAAGCCTTCTTCATGACACTGAGCAACGATATGGATAATAACCCTGAACAGAAATCAGAAGTTGATTAAGCCTACAAGGCAAGCTATGATTGCAATATCAAAAATGCTACTCAGTTACATATCTATGTGATAACCCAGTCAACATTTAAAACTATGAAACACTTAAAATTCTTTACCTTGTCACATTGACTGCAACTTCCTCTTGAGTTGCTCTAGTGAGAACTCTAAACAACTGGTTTAAAACAGTTGGCAGGAAAGCTATCATCACATGGCCTTCCATAGCATGAAGGCTCTAAAAGAAAGCAGTAATACTCCTTGAAACAATGGCATTTAAATCACAAGTTCTGATACAATAACATTTACTGTAAGTCTTCTTCCAAAAATACACGCTGCTTGCACTATTTGGTGCTAATTACCTGAAATACTGCAAGAAAAAAAATGAGAATAGTTTCTGACATAAACATCTGGTAAATATTATCTACATTAAGGTAAATTGGGGAAAAAAACCCTAGGTTTTATTAAAAGCATTTTAGAACTAGTTATTTATTAGTTTATTTAGTTATTTGTACTTTTCCATTGAAATGCATACTAGGTAATGTTTCAATGAAAGGACTACCTGTATACACCACAGCAAGCCGACACTGACACTGTTATACTTTGCTATTTCATCCACCAGTACAGACATTGAGCAAACAAAAGTTCCACAAAAACATATAGATTGCTTACCTTCGATAATTGCAATACTAGTTTTACTAGTTACTGCAAAACAATAAACTAATATGTTAAAAAAACCAAAATGCACTAAAATCTTTAACTACCAAATGCTGGAAATTGGAGACAGTGAATTACCGCTCAACTTCTTTATGCTATCCCTTTGCACTCCATCATGTGCAAAAGATATTATTGACATAACCACCTGACATAAAAGGTAGTATATGGCATTTCATCCTACGTTGGATTATGCCACAGAATTCCCTGGAGTTAAAGGGAGTTTGAGAAATAAAAAGAGTATATTTGCTGAACGTGCATGCAGACAACATATTTCAAATATTTCCATTCAGTGTTAACTAGCTGTCTCATCTTTCAATGTTTGCCTGTATGCACATTCACACTATTCAGGACTGAAAACAGTCTTCACTCCTACATGATCTGTGATTTTTCTTGGAAACAGCAGTCATACACTACAGCATCTTTTCTATAAGCCTTGAATACCAAAGCATTGGGTAAACATGCAAATGGAACTTCAGCTCACAGTTCTGTCCAGGATGCAGACACTTTTTGGTAAAGGTGCTGTTTTAAGTAGGACTCTGAAGTGGACTCGTAACCCAATTTCTGATGCCTTTGAGTATTCAACTACTCTCAAACTGCCAGAAGTAGCTGTGCCCTTTGATATCGCAGCCAGCAATGGAGGTAACTACAAGCAGATACCTAAACTTATGAGATGCTAAGTGATGGTTGGGCTCATGAAACATGAAGTATGCAAGCATCTTGAGTCAGGCAAGTTTCAGAAAACCTTTAATAAGAAGTGTCAAGTGGTGCTTACATAAAATCCCGTTAGGGAGGGCAAGAAGAGAAAGAAGAGAGAATGGGACAATACTTGCCAGGTTTGATAATCCAAGCTACTCTCACAGTAGCACATTGAGTCTGTGCAGAAAAGTAAATCTTAAGTATTTATATATGACATCGCATAGACATTACCTGCAAGAAACAGTCATCAGCAAACTGAGACATTGATCTTTAATGACCATTTAGCACTCAGGTTGGCCAAGTCTGGCACCGGTAGGTGCCAGACTGACACACACTTCTCAATACACAGGAGATGCAAAATGTATTTGGGTCCCTGTGAGGCCTAACTAGACAAGAATTTGCCTCAATGGACATGAGAATAGCCAATTTTTTTGTAGTTCACACAGAAGGTAGCATTTGTTACCATGAGGCAAGGCAATAAAGTCATGTGTCAGTCTAGTGGTGTGGAACATGTTCATACTGTATAGTAAGAGTGTTCTCACATTTAATGACAAGCAAGAATTATAAACAAACTCTGCAGTTGCATTAGTCTGTCCTAGGGACTTTGGCAAGACATGGTCTTGTCACTGAACCTAAAGATTCTGCTAATGCAGAACTAATATAAATATAAATAAAGTGTTTAAGCAAAGGAATAAGCCACCCAAATATATTACTGTCTGTATATGTGATCAAATATGACAGAAGTAAATTATGGGATTAGGGAGTGATCTGAGGAAGTGGTCTTTTGAGCTTTCCCTAAAATGACATTTTAGTATCTGATGGTCACTTTGTTCTACCAGACAAACAAGAGTTTTGAATATCAGGAAGATAATCAAGCCTTTGATTCCAGCCAATTGTCATTTTTGATGGTCAGCAGGTAGCAAAATAAATGTGAAATTGCCATGCTATTCCCTGGAAGAGATTTTGATTAGATCAGATTCAAATAGAGCTCTGATAAACTTAAGAAACAGTGTGATTTCTCAAAGTACTGTGAATCCTGATGAATCAAACAGGTCAAAAACTGACTGAGGGTTGTTTGTAAGGTTGTTTGTAAGGTAAGAATCAACAAACTGCCTACAAATTACAGGGTCGTTCCATTCCTCATAGTGTGAATAGTCACTGCTGCTAAGACCTTGGTAAAGAAGCTCTCCACGGTGTGCAAAACTGATTTTTTAATAGTAGTGATTCAGACTTGTCATATATGCAGAGATATTAGTAACAATAGTTCTTTTCAAGTAACATCTGAATGTTTTCCAGACTAACTGCTTTGTATTTGCTCTTTCTGGTGCTGTAATTTTGTTTTTACACCTGAAGTTACCAATAAAGACATTCAGTTCCTCAGTTCCCTGAGGTCTAGAATGGGCAACAATCCTTCCTTTATTCTTGATACCAGAAAAAACCTGACAGGAAGACTGCACCCCTTGAAAAAAAAGTGATGGAAATTATATTGACAATTTTAAAGAGATTCAGTGAGCCACAGGTCAGACTCTAAGATGTCTAATTCATGATGGCTTAAGAACATACCGTCTTTATTGTGTACGGAGAGAAAAAAAAAAGAGGTTAAGTCCAATGATAACGATTCAGTATTCCAACTGATCTTAAAATCACAACAAGTAGGCAAAGCTGCACCAATGAGAAACTGCCTTTTATGACTAGGACTTCTAAAAACCTGGATGCTTCCTTTGTTTGTATTTTCACAGAACATGGGAGGAAATTGAATATCAATAATTTTAAATCCCTTGCCAGAAAAGTACAAACAGTAGGGTAAGAGGTAAGAGGTTCCCTTCCTCAAAGAGAAATCTCAGACAGCAGGACCACAATCTCCCAGAAGGATTACTTGGGGAAAGATGGAATAATCCCCTTGGTCCCAAGGCAAGATGAAACACTTTGAAGCAGTGATTCCTCTCCTCTTCTGCCTCTGTTGGAGAGATTTCTTCAGGGCACAAACCACAGCTAGAAATATTCTATATTGTGAAAAGTGTCATGATGACAGAGGATTTGCAGGTCTGGTATCAGGGAGGAATTCTGCACATAAGCTGCCTCTAACTCCAGCAGGGCCTCTTGATACTGCAGAGTGCTGACTTTCACAGTCAAATCACTGCCTGGCACTGCTTAGTGCTAGTGCCATCTGATTGGGGACTATTTGGCACAATTACTGCTGCAGAAAGCAGTGGAAATAAGGATGGCTTCAGATCTCAAATTATCAAGAAACCCATAACAGATACTTTAAGTGAGAAACACAGAAAAATGACATATCAAAACAAGAATGTCAGTAGCAGAAACCCAAGGGAGAGGCATCTCTCGTGACTCATTCTAAGTAACCATGGGGGACGATGAAGTTCAGCTACAAGACTATTGGTTCTTTGCCTTAACCTTTTGATGTGAAGATACCATGGTCAGAATCCCTTCTAGGGTGTTTTATTATTGTCATATGTTTTCCAGCATGTTTTGGGATTGCAAAATTTCAGAATGGTAAGGACAAATAGAAGACTGAGAAACAGGTCTGAAAGTTAAAAATGGAAATAATAAAAAACCTACTTCAAAATAGGCTTCTATCTTCCTGCTGTTAATGTGCTGTGTCCTGTTTTGTACCAAAGTTGATCAAAAAGTCTTGGGGCAAGGAAGATGACTCAGAGCCATGGTTTTGACATAATCAAGGTCACAAAGCAAGTCCATTTCATAAGTGTGCCACACTCATTAGCTAAGTTCTTACTTAAATGTCTTGACTAGAGAGTCCAATTTTATTAACTGATGGTAATCAATTACAACAATAAACTCTCTTGTGCCTATCAGGTACTTGTGATACCTTACATAGTTTTTAAGGTGACTGAATTTTGGGCTTCATATTAAAAGTCTGATCTGCAGATAAAACAAAATTGCTGTGAAATCCATGTGCTCCATTGATCTAATCCTGAAAGAGAACTGCAGACATGACAACAATGACATCTTAAGTGAAATTTTATAAAATCGAGAGTCATCGTTTCTTACCATTATCCATGTGCTGTTCAATTTGACTATTTTGACAAAAAAATAGTGTTTCGAAACTGTTACTGATAAGGCTGACCAATATTGTCTCATTATTGCCTCGCTGTTTCCACTTATATTACAATTTTAGGCTTATCTAGGGCAGGAAGTATCTTTTTGTTCTTTTTATACTGCATATTCCATTAATGAGACCTAGAAAATGTCTGAAACTTCTTGGCTTTGCAACAGTATAAATAAATAATATAATCTGTTATTCACTGCCATTTTATACCTTAAGATACTTTACAAGATCAGTTCCTAGTGCACGAGCTCCAGACTCTGTTTTCTGACAGTACTGAAAAAAATTATGCAAGTGCTGATCCTGTTAAAAAGAACAAAAAGAAAACAAATTAAACAATATCTAACATTACTACCCGTAATCCAAAACAGAACACATTAAAAAATATTTTTATATAGAAATCCATGTTTCTGTCATAGATTCAACTTGCAAAAATAATTGAAGTGCACTATTCCAAAGACTAATTTAGTCTACATGTAACATTGACTTTTTTTTAACCCACAATAAAGATTTCCAATTTTTTTTTAATATCCATTATACAAAACACCACCTATATTTGCTTCAAATCAAGCGTCACACAGAAAACAGCATACTTAATGTTAGTTATCCCAACTCATCATAATACGTGTTTTATGAGCAGCTGTAACAAGACTCATTGCTTTGTAGACATGCCAGTAAATAGCTTTAAGGCAACTATGACCTCTCACCTAAAAGGAAAATTCAGATTGGAATGGATGACAATGTTAGACAAAAGGCCCATATTTTGAATAGTGTCCATTTAAGACCTGCTGTTTTTCACAGCTGATGTGAGAAACAGATACCATGCAGTGTGTCCAAGAGACAAAAAAGAGATCAGCATAGTGAGTTTAAGAGTCTTCCCAAATATCATATATAAATATAATAAACATACATAATTCCTAAAACTTTCTCTAATTTAATTGATTTATAACTTACCTGTGTATACACAGTTGACACCAGATGAGTGGATATTTTTAACAATTGTTTGCCTCCATCTACCCATTTAATTTCAGGACCAGAATGCTGTATGCACACATGCAGAGGAAAAGTAAAATAATGTAGTGGTATACTGTAGTAAAACAACTTGTTTATAGTACCACTAACAACATCTTTTTTAAAAAACAGGTTGAAGAAATGTGTGCAATGAATAAATTTATAAAAAAAAGGAAAATTATGCAGGCAATATTACAAAAAGCATTTATGAAGCTTAAATTTCTTTCTTTAAAGTCCCACAGTACTTTTCTCACTGGCTAACAAAATTGCTTTTCTGTAAGTCACAGGTTTCATTTTCGCCCTACAACTCTGCAAAGAAACTTCTGACTAGAGAGAAATATCTACTAGTTTTCTGAAAAAAATAACACAAGAATTTCCACAGATACTGACACAGTTTAAACCTTAATGTACATCTCCAATAGGTAGCAGCCAGTGCTTCCTTCCCATCTCATTTCCAAAGAACTAAGACTGGGAACACTCAGCTGTCTACTCTGACAACCAGTTCAGGAGAGATTTTACTGCTAGATCTACAACCAGTCACATTGGTCCTAACGTTCTACCCACAGGCATGAGCAGAGACGAACAGCAGAGGCATAAAGAATACACCTACAATGTGAAAAGATGAAAGATGTGAAGGAGACAATGATTGGAAAGCTTACAGCAGAGTTTAAAAAAGAAAATGTGGTAGAATAGGAGGAGAGCAGCACCTCTTGCTGTTGATTTTAGGCCTCTTCCTCCAAAATGAGTCAATTTGGTCTCTGCATTTCATTCTCTTAGTCAAATCCCCTATCACAGTTTACATTTTGTGTCCTCTTTGGTATCATTTTTATTACTACAATTTTGCAAGCTTTCTGCTTTGAAAAATACAACCATAAATTTTACTAGTGAAGTATAAAGATCACAAAAATCAAGATGTGAGAATAAGATTTTTTCAGGAATAAGACTTACTGAAAGGAGACAGCATGAAATGCTAAAAAAAATTTAGTAAAGGACTTCAGATTATTTGCATATTTTCATAAACTCAAATAATTTAATATATTTAAAAATTACTGTAACCTCTAGTTATTTATTACTACAAAAAATGAAATTTAAACATTACCTTAGTACATCAGCTAAATAATTAAAAAAATAACTAACAATTAACCATTTAAATGAAAATGTATTAGGGCAGGTTGATTAAAATTCTTGTAAATGTCAGAATTAAGTCATAAGTTTTGTCTCCCATTTCTGTTTGGGTTGGTTTGTTTCCTTTAAGTCAGATATCTAACTTTTGCAAAGCACTCCATTTTAACTATAAAAGCAAAAAAATTCTACTAGAAAAGGACTGAAATCTCATCAGACTGGGGAATTACAACAGACCTTCTCTCCACATCTTTTTTTCAAAGCAAAATTTCAAAAAAATTTAATATAACATACCTTTCCAACCCCCACTTCTTGATAACTAAGGTAGCCTGAGGGAAGATTTGCTGACACTGGGATGTGCTGCTCATTGGTCACCACTCTTCCATCTTTTATTAGAGGAAGCCAAGAATACCCAACTACGGAACATGAAAGGCAAGTAATTTTAAATATGTTATGAATCTTTACAAAAACTCTTACAAAAGTACAGCACAAAAGTATCCTTACTGCACACTTCTGAAATGTAATTCTTAAATCAGAAAATGTTACTCAAAGTGCCAAATTATTTGAACTCAAACAATTAGAATTAATTAAAAGTATCAATTGTCACAGAGTTTGAAAAAAACCCCTTACATTTAATACATATTCTAAAACATCATTTGAAATATTTAAATTTAAGGAAATACTTAATGAAACCTTTCAGTCAGTATAATGTAATTAGAAACCATTATCTGGAACACAAAAATGATGGGTTACCAGATAAGTATGTCATAAAATCTGTGCAGTAGTTACTGAAATTAAAGCATCCGCATACAAACCTTGTGTTTCAACGACATCTTTCTTCTTTGTACTCCCTTTGCTTGAACTATCACAGCTGACATGATAGAAGGTGAACAACAAATGGTGCTTTTCATGTAACTGAGTGGGCAATTCAATTTTAATCTGAAAGGCAAAGAATCACAACCTTTGGAAAAGTCTTCAGCTAGAGCAGTGACATGCCTTACTGGTTGCACACTTAAAAAGCAATTCTAGTTTATATGTTATTTGGAGGAAGATCAAGAATCACACACACTAAACTCACAAAAATTTACTTACAGTGAAAAGTGGGATCTGATTTAAGTGAAATAATAATCAAGAACTTTGCAATCCTCAAATCTTTTCTTGTGTTTTTGAAACTTGCATGATACTTAAACGAGTAAAAGTTGCCTCAGAAAGGTAGCTTACCTCGTCATAAAACTCTGGATTTTGATGGTGATGCAGAACAGCAGCAAATGCACTTCTAGTAAATACCGGTCCACCTGGCCTACCATAGATACACTAATAATAGGAAAAAGGAAAAAAGAACAAAAGAAAAACCTGTGATCCTTTTTCACTCTCAGCTTAGAATCTGTTTCACCTAGAATTTGAAATATTTTAACTTGTGTTTACTATGGTTCCTTTGCACAGACAGGGGATTATGTGATCTGTAATCTGCACGCTGTGCAGCAGAGCTGACACGGTGATTTCACCTCAGGATTCCTATACACTTTCCTACTTCTTTTTTTCCAGCCACCTCTTATACACTGTAGTAACGCATCAACAAACACAGAGCTTGGCTCTGCAGTTCATCTAAAGCTTTACTGTTTTAACTTAAAGAATTCCCGCTGGGGAGTATGCGTAACCCACCCTTGTTTGCAATAAGTTTTTCCTCAGAATTTTTGTTGATATGGAGAAATTAAATCTTATACCTAAATAATCATCTATATCAAAAAAGCAAGTCATCTAGAAGTTACTCTTATGCCAAATGCAAAAGGAGGACAGAAAGCCGCCATCCCAAACTAGATAAATTAATCCTGTACTACTGTGTCACTTAGCTAACTGTTCACTATTTTATCAGTTGCAAAAATGAAAAGACTAACCTTTAAAGGCAAAGACTCCTCTTCATCAGAATCTTTGAACTCAATGCATACTGCAATATTTCTAGCCTAAAGCAGTATTTAAAAACAAAACCACAAACACTTAGTCATAAGGATCATCACAGAAATAAATTACATAAACAATTTTAACCAAACCTGAGAAAGAAGAACATACATTTGTCCTGTACTCACCTTTGCAAAAGACTTTTGACTGTCATATTTCAAGTGCTTTGGATAAACATAAAGATGATTGTTGTAGATGGTGAAAGGCTGAGTGTGTTTCGGTATACAGGGAACAAATTCCTCTATTTCAAATGTTATTAGTGTCTTGGTGCTGTTTTCAAACTGTTTCATGGGAATGTATGATGAGTTAACATAATCTGAAAATACATTTAAAAAAACATATAAAAACCTGAAAGGAAAAATCCTGAATGTCCACTTAACAGTGTGTATTAATACTTACTCGGAAAATCTGGTGACACATTATCAATTGTAACATCTAGATTTCCTAAAATAACAGGAAGTTTGGCCATTTTTTCGGGTCTATAGGAAGGAAAAAAACCTCAAAGTCAGGATAAATGCAAAACTATCAGATGCCAGAAAAAAGAGATAATAGGAAACAGAGGCAAAAGTAATATCCTGAAACAGCAGTATGAGAGGAAAGGTGGTGTGGGGGTGGATGACTGATCTGGTCTTGTTTTTTTGCCTAGATTCACAGTTTTACTCTTCTTTAAATTCTCAAAAAAAAAAAGTAAGACTTTTTCCACAAGTGTGGAAATGTTAAGAAAAAGCAGGATGTTTTTCTTTCTTTACATCAAAATGAAAAACTTTGCTAAAGATAGGTTTTGTTTGCCATGTAATAACTCGCTATCAATTGCAATAAAGAGGGGATCTAAAAAGCAAGCTTTTTAAATCAAAATAGCTAGTGATAAGGATTTATGGTAAAAGGGTAGGCTTGGGAGAAGAGTAAAGGGGAGAGAAATCAGTAAGTTAATAAAAATGGGCCTTCTACTCAGTAATTTCTTTTCCTACCTTTCCTTTCTCTAGGGTAATGACTAACCCTGGAAAATATTTACTATTAACTAGCCTGCTATGAAACTTCTTAGATATTTCTGAATTAGCTACATGATAACATGATTTGAAGTAGGAATATTTTATTAGTAAAACTAGTCAGCAGCATGATTTTTTTACATTATTGCAGAGGAAGTGGATGCAATATTTTCCCAGAATGCAATCTCATGCTGTGAAGCAAACAACTTTTTCTGGTTGGAGTCTGGATTCTAATTCCAATAGCTAAGCCTTAGACATTACATTCTTCTTCTTAGTAAAAATTCCTGTGAAATACTGTACAGGGTTCCACAAAAAGGATGATGAAATAACCAAAAGCATTTCCTTAATTCACAAAGTAAAGTGATGTGAAAGGCTAATTTACTATATTCATTTCAATTTTAATAATACTGTTTATCCTGAGTATCACTACAAAAGGAATTTCAGTGCTATGTAAACTTCAAAGACATTTTAGGCAGCTCGCTAAAATGGAATTAAAATATCTATTACAAACATCACCTCCTTATCAGATTTGGTAAGCAAGAATAAAATAAACTATAGCCCAAACCTTTTGCAATTAGCAATAGTTCAAATTAATACTCCAGCTAACTGTACCATAAACAGAAGTGGAAATGCCTTTCCAAAGCAGCAAAGATTGCTCATTTATTTTACACCCTATTCAATAAAAGAGGGGATTAAAATTAGTTTTTTAAGAGTCATCTTTAAGAAGGCGATTCTTAAGCCTTGCATACAAACTGATGATGTCTTTAGGAGTACTTTGTAAAAAAAGATGACCAATGTTCTGTTACTTAGGCATCCTGAGCCAAATGCACTTTCAAAGAAGGTGGACTGGATACTGGCTTGAATCCCTTTCCCTGAGAGCAAGCATTCTTTGTCCAAGCTCAGTGAACATATGATTTATGCTCATACTTGTTTTCCTTTGAGAACCAGAAGAGTGTATTATGCAACTCCTAACACAGAGCTGCTTGAGAATATGATGCTTACTGTATGCTAAACATGGCATAGCACTTCAGTTCTGCTTATAGACCCCAAACACTGCAAGGGAAAGATCTGTAGCTTGTATGAAGGCCTTGATTATATTTATACAACTTCTATATTTGAAGTGAAAGAAACATATAAATACATGTATCAAAAGATTCAATGCTCCAGTTCAAGACTGTAACAAAAAATAAGGGGCTTGGTTAGGGGGTGGTTGGTTGGTCTGTTTTTGTTTTGTTTTGTTGGATTTTTTTCAGCTGGGGAAATTAGACTTACTTCCTGAAATCTGCTAACAATTTCAGCATGTCTTCATTTGAAAGTTTATTACTGTCTTGCCTGAAGAGAGGAGAAAACCTTGCATTTTTGTCCAGGGTTCCTGAGGCATCTTTAAACAGCGTCCTAAAAATAAAAGGCTTGTTTTCAGCTGAATTTATGAAAGAGTTGAAAGTCAGTTCAGGAAATTTGTTTACTACAAATTAGAACATACTGCACCATCCTTCATATTAAGCATTTAATACTCTTGTCATGGTAGGTGAGTTTTAACATATAAATAGCTCAGTCTAACAAATCAAATGTGAATAATTTTATTCTTAATAACATAAAAAATATTGACAATAGAAAACAGTTGGCAATATTTAACGGTTTGAATAATAATATTAGTAATGTTTAGAACTTTTGTCCCACCACAGAGCTGAAGTGTAAGTTTGTTTGTCAGAAATCTTTGGTTAACTGGAAGTAAAACAAGAAATAATTTAAATAGCACATCAAGTTTTACAAGAAGTGAGATGAAGAAAATAAAAGTTGAAGAAAAGTTAGGAAAAAACTCAGGCTGACAAGATCTGTCCTTACCTAGCTGCCCAGGCAAAAGGCATTCTATATTGACCTAATCTCTGGCATGCCTGCTTAGCATTCTTTAAGACTTTCTGTGCAGCCTGAAAAGGACATAAGAATAGCCGGGTTTTAAAAGCTACATTTTTTGCACCATTAGTATACAAAAAAAAACAAAACAAAAAAACAAAAACAAACCACATATTGACACTGATACAAACTGGAAATCTTTAGAAGATTAATCCTAAGTATGCAAGTGAAAGACAAATGAAAATACCTCTTAACAATTCATTTCAGGTTAAGCAGGGCCTGCTAATTTCACAGCATTTAATGGCTTAAAACAGACCCATCTACACTCCTGATAATACATATTTAATTAAGCAAGAAAAAATGATTATATACAAAACTCATACAAAAGCTACAACAAATTTCAACTGGTTATTAAGAAAGAACTGTGACTCCAGATAAAAACATTTCCCCCCCGACTTGCTCCCCTGTTCACCGTCCACTCTATGTACCAGAACACATTCCTGTAAATAGTAAAATACTCTGCAATACACACAGAATATTGTGAGGAGTTGTATGAAGACCACGCTGACAATCCTATGTATGGACATTGCAACATCGTTTTCATTAAAACCTTACCACTTCTGTTTTGCTAACTTTTAAATAAACAAACAGTTCCATTATATAGAACCAACATGTATAACAATCAGAGCTAGAAACCCACTAGTCTGAGATGTTCAACACATCAGAAGCTCCTGACAGAGTAGCGGGATTCTCTTTTCCAGAAACCAGCTTCTCATATGTGCCCACACAGAGCAAAATTACTTGCCAACAGCAGAAAAACACAGAAAAACCTGCCTGAATATTATCCCTGATCTATGCTGCTGACATTATGAAGAGCTATTTCTATTAGTGTGTTGTTTGAGCCAATTCTCCATTATCCCTTCTTGTAAAAATGGGGAGTCACACTCAGAAGCATAGAACTTTGATAAGCAATCATCATTAATTCACAGTGTTCAGTGTTTAAGGGGAGAATAAGTGATCTCTTGGCTTGAATTTGCTGCTTCCATTTTCCCTTTTTCTTGTCCAGAGTGGTAGTTCTGCAGGGAACTGGAACTTGCTCATTGCACTGACACACATGGAGACCTATATAGCTGTTTTGTTTCAAATTAATATGGTGTAATCTCAGGGAACACGAACAGAAAAAATTCAATGTTTTATTTCCAAAACAGCAAAATTGCACATAAAGTTACAGTAAAGAACTGTCACCAAAAAGTGAGACAAAGGAAAAGTCAACAAAAATGATACAGTAAATAAGGTGCATTAACTAAGAGTCACATACAGTCAATTTCTGACCTGTATTTATTATTTCATTGTTCAACAATTTTCAACTGAACTTTCATGCTGAAGTCTAATACTATTTTGTCAAATCAGTTTAAAGCCATTATAAAAGTTACAGCTTATGTCACAATTGTAATAGCTAAATAAATGTTTCCCAATAATAAGTTAGACATATATATAACATATCAGTTAATAAAAGTTACTAGCAATAACTACAACTTACTAAATCAAATCATCCAGTTACCTGAATTTCCTATAAAAGAACTAAGCTTCTGACTGATACTTATTAATTTGAAATCAACATATCTTGCTTCAGCATTTTTTCCATGCCACAGAAGATGACAACATACCTTTGAAGAATCTGAACTTTTCATATATGGTTCAGCACAATGCGTAATACTTCCCTGTAGTACTTTTTCTATTCTAGCCACAAGGAAAATGTCAGTATGAGGACACGTGACTGAGAATATTCCCTAGGAATAAAACAAGAGATAAACATCAAAGGAAAATGCACACACATTTTATATCACATAATAGAAAGCCATCTGAAGTATGTTGGAAAACTCTCTACTTGTATCCAGAATCCTAGTAACTCTTTAGGTTACCAGTTCTTACCTGCTTTGGATATTGTAACACAGTTTCATAAACATCTTGAATTCTGTGTAAGCCATCACCACTGCCATTCGTCATTTGTTGAGATGCATTGGGTATCATATGCCTTACTGAAGGATGGTTCAAATCAACATGGAAGTCAGCTGAAATCTTCCGGTTGTTTTTGATATCAAATAGTGATAATGTGACAAAGAAAGGTTCTACCTAGAGTTTTAAAAATAAAAAATAAAAAGAATAATCAAGTGTCATTGCTGGCATCTATACTACTGTAAAAAATGTGTATGAAAGGAAGATGAGTAACATTTTTATAAACACATATGACCATGACTCTAGATATTTCTGACAAGATGTAAAAGACAGTAAAATAAAAATTCCACTTTCTACAACACAAAGAGCTTAGTAGCAGAGCTACTTTTCATAGGATTTAGGCTCTCATTCTGATTTAAAGTAGTAGAAAAAACCCACAGTGTAAGATTCTCAATCACAGCAGGGAATTCTTGCCATTAATAATTAAGTGTCAACAAAATATTAAGATGCTCATTACCACATTAACAGAAAATAATTAGAGGAGTTATTTACATTTGTTGTTGGTCCTTCTTCATTTTCTGCAACACAGCTTTGCAAATTAAAAGATAAATCATTACACTTCACAAGAATTCTTTTTCCAAATTTCTCTTCAAATGGCTTCACTTCTGGTTCAATACCAGAAAAGTCAAGTTTCTTTAAAAAGAGATAAGAAAAATAAGGGTAAGTTGCTTTTCATCTCTAAAGAATCAACATAAAAGAAAACAACATGCTTCCTTGTAAAAAGTCTAACCTGTGCATCCGGATCCAAGGCAAAAAGTTTAACTCTGCTTTCACTTTTCAACTTGATTTCTGCTTCTCTCGTACTCTGTTAAAAATACGAAAAACAAAACCAGTATTATTATCACACTAATTAAGTGGTTTTCAATTTCATTCCTTTTTCTGTGATGCTCAAATCCTTACATGTTTTTAATTCACGCACTCTTCTCTCCCTAACTGAGCTTTGAAACTCTGCAGTTTAAACTGCTACATCATATCCAAGTAAAAAGTGAGATAAGACTCCTCTCCTCTAAAAGTTTTTCCAGTCCTAGAAACACTAAATCAGCAACATATAACCTTCCACACTCATGGGAAATACACTCCAGTGTAGCTCATACAGCTTTGCCTTCTCAAACAATAACTCTCATAACACTATTTTATTAAAAAAACCCCAAGAAACTAGGTTAAAGCTCAGAGCTATCCTAAGACCATAAGACTGTTCAGGAAACAACAGGCTACCTAAATTAAGAAATACCAGCGTAGTTTGCTTTCTTTTTTCTTTTTCTTGGTTTTGCTTGGTTTTGGTTTTGTTTTGTTTTTTCTTTTCTTGAGCTCTGCTGCCAAAGAAGTGGTTTTCCTGTGGGTAGTTGGAAAAAATCCAAAAACTTCCAAAAGACAAAACCTTCACACTTAAAAGTTACTTTGGAGAATACATTGCACACTGATCCTGCCTGGGATTTGTGGATCCCTATCTATTAGCAGTAAAACAAAATTAAAGTGGAACAAAATAGAACGTGAAAACTGATGGTATATAATAGGTACCTCTGATTTTTTAAAAAAGGTATTTTTGAAAGAGTATTCTATGATTTTTAAAGTCACAAATGGACATATGCACATGCCAAAATTACCAATGTAGGAGAGCTGCCATTCCCAAAGTAGCAGCTGGCTAAACAGGGATACAAAGTACTACATTACAGACAGGTGTCTATTTTTTGATCAACCTCTATGGGTTAAGAGAAGTTACCAACCCAAAATGCTTATCACTGACCATCAGCTGGAAGTGATCTACTGTCTACACCTGCTTTGCTGGAGGTTGAAAAAACTCCTACTATGGGTCAAAGAAAGAAAATTTTTAAAAAAGATAAAAAAAATCAGCTGTAGGAGCTCGAAATCCTATTGTAGGTTGATGATAACAATAATAATAAAAAAAGGATTTGACTTCAAGGATGCATTACAGAAGAGGAACTTCGGAGGCGTGAATTTGAGTATAGATGCTCTAATGGATTTCACTTACTTGACTTTGCTACGTTTAACACTCACACGAGGAAAGACAGGAGTTGCTGTGAAAGACCTGACCCAGACACTTGATACCAGCAGGGCATTAGCAGACTTTGCTTGTCAAAAGCACGTGAGAAAAACAGGACTAAACTGTGAAAAAGTTTAAAGATGGCAAGAAGGTTGCATGTATGTTTTGGAAAGGAAGTAGTGTCAAGAACTGAAGAAGAAGATGATCTAGTCATAGGAGCAAGACAGAAACTGTTTCAGATAAAGCATCTCGAATAGTTTTGGACTCTTTGGTGTTCTGTGCACTAAAGACAAGACAAAAATATGCATTTTTGACTGACAGATCAGGGTCAAGAAGTCAAGAACTGAAAATTCATGTAGTAATCAACCCTGCCTACCACACAGCAGTGACTCTGATTTCATTTCCTCACCTGTATAACAAGGACAATGTTTTCCTACCTCAAGGAAAACTGGGACCCATAATGGTTAAGGAGGTACTCAGGCACACTGATCATGACAGTCACATAGTTACTTAAGATAGAGATCTAATTTATTTACTCTGAAGATTAAAAAATAAACAAACAAACAAAAACCCCCCACCCCCATACATTCACTCTTGGTATTTAAGTTACAGATAAGAGGAACATAAAATAGGCAGGACAGATAGACCAATTGAGACATATGTGCACACATCTGTGCCATGAAGCACACAATACCATCTTATTTAGTTTATGTTATGAAGTAACAGTTGTTTATAGAGAAATGAAGGCTTGGAGATGTACTCACAAGGGTTAAAACTTTCCTAGGAAGACTGTTTTTTTCTCTATTGTCAGGTGCTCTGCAATCACCCCTGAAGGAATTTCTCTTTCCTCATAAGGATATGAGGTCAACTATTGTGAAAATCTCCTTCTAGAACCAACAAAAATAACAGAGCAGCTATAAACTCCTCTAAAAGAAGGCTCAATGCCTTGTAAGTCTTCCACTGGGGAAAAAAAGAACTAAACAAAGTAACAGCTGAAAAGACAATGCAAGAAAGAACAGAGGATTATATTTTTCAAAATCCTCAAAACAAACAGCATTTATATGAAGTAATCAAGTTAAGGCACACAGAGCATACTAATGCAAATGGGCAGATTTTTCCCTGTAGTTCTCGGGGGAAAAAAGGCTAGAAAAACACAACTGAGCAAATTAAGTGTTTAGTAAATATGAACTAGAAATGGGAAGACCGAAAAACTTATTTTGAAGGAAACAGAAATTTAAGTGGTTATGACCATGCAACTGAAAAAAAAAGAAAAAAAAAAAAGAGCTGAGAAAAATAACACACTAGAAAAATACATAGTTTAAAACTGCATGCTTCCGATCAGAAGGTTATGGAAACAGGAAGCAGCATCTGTAGTACTAAAACCATATGCAGGTGCTGCAGCCCTGAATAAAAGTTCCCTCTGGAAGTCATATGGAACACAAGCATTTCAATAAATCTGACTATAAAAAAAAAATCTATACATGTAATTTTATATTTGTCTCTGAAATAAATCTTCATAGCTTGACATAAGTATGCTGTCTGATGCTTACAGCTCCTCCATGGAAAACTTGATTGTATGCCCTACAATTCCAATTAGTTTCAAAATACAGCTGTAGCTGGAGTTAGATTACCACACAATAGATTTTTGTATACATGTGTACAAAGCAGTAACAGAAAGAATTAAGTCAGCCAACCAATTTGGGTGCTAAAAGCCTGTTAACGTATTCTGACTGGATCTTTTGATAGGTTAGCGATTGTAATAGATGGAATTTCTTTCAGGGCTTGTTCTCAGTTTATAACTGCACTCCCTTCAGTAGTTACTAGAACAGACAGATCCTCAGAAAAGGAGGGGAGAGCATTCCAGAGCATGGTCAAGTAGAAAAGTTAAGACTGCAGGCTGCGCCATGCAGAAGAAAGAGTAAGGAAGTCACAGGAAGGAGTTTGGCCTCTGTAGCTTCAATAGAATAAGGTCACCAGCTCCAGTCTGTAGGTGATTTAACAAAACTTTCCCCCTTAGAGAACCCACAAAACATATTGCAACACACAAGTCACTGATTTAACTGAAATAAAGTCTGCAAATGGACTGAGGAAGAGTTACTGATATTTTCTATTTATTTCTATTTATTTTATTTTTATTTCTAGTGCTACCACACCTCTGTAAGAACAAAATTGATAAGCAAGAACTATGGCAACACAGGAAGTATCCGTGAACTTGCCAGCTCATTACAGGCATCTTAAAATGCATTCACATCATAGCTGCAATTAAGTTCCTCTGGATTTCTAACTATAAAAATAAAACTTGAATTTAGCATAACTAGAGTTCTATAAAAATACTTCAAGCACTTACTTTCATGCAATAAAACAACACAAAATATGCAAAATATAATAAATTAGTAAATAATAGAACATGCTGATTTTAAACAGCATGTCAAGATTTATAAAAGCAACTTTAAAATAGCAGCTAGTTTGATTCCAGAAGCAAAAAATGAAGAAGCTCAATAACCACATCTATTAATGAAAGAGCTTCTAGGCTTTCAAAGAACCACAAACTGTCTGGAAACTAGAAGCCAATACCTCACCATTTCCGAAAGTTCACGTGGCTAATTTATGCTTAGTACTTTATATCCCAAGTTGGCATTTACAATATATTACCTTGGCAATTTCAGGATAGTAGTTATCAAAACTACTTGATGAGCTGTCCATTTTGCTTACTTCATCATCTGAAATTATAAATTCACATGTAAAAAAAAAAATTAAAACCGCAAACAAACAAACAACAAACCAAAACCCCAAACTACTCACAAAACTCTGTAGCAAAAATATTTCTGATTTATTTATCTATTTAGTAACTCCCATCCCTCAAAAATGACAAATGTTAACAAACAGGTTGTGAACGACTCTACAATTTCATTTGGATGCAGTGACTTCTTGGAGGATGTAACCAGCTATATAAATAGGTAAAGTAGCAGTTATTTCTAATCTTACCTAGAAAATACCTTTAATAGTATTTTTTAGATCTGCGTGGGGAAAGGGGATACCCAGTGCACAAATTTACATTACCCTTTCCACTATGGATTGTAACTTGAATTCAAAACAAGTTCCTTCTATTCACTAGGTTCCCAGCTCTACTATCCAATGGTTACTGGATTTACAAAGCAACCATTCAGTTAGGTATAAGCATCTTACATACCAATCTTAATTGGGGACCACTGACTAAAAGGTCTTTCGCAGAACCAGAACTACAGTTCCCTTTTTCCGATTTGCTGTTGTGGAAAACATGTTAAACTCAGGCAATCTTCATCAAAGACATATCTCATTTAAACTCCAATGATCTCTTTTGGTATATTGTGCTATTTATAAGCAAAACAACCTTCTGTAACCTCTTCCAGGTTCTTCTGGATATGCACACACTTTATCTCATACCAGTCGCCCTCCCCATCCACTCAAAAGAAAAAATGCACAAGAGGACATTTAGACTATCGTTTTGTCACCAAACTATCAACTATACTTACATCACATTCCTTACAGATACCTGCCTCACCTATTCTTAATGGGCTCCAACAGAAAAGTTTCTACACCCAAGCAATCTATTTCAGTACTTCAGGGAAATATTTGTGGTCAAGGGAGTTAAATCTAAATTTAAGTCCCTCACTGCAACCACAATTTCTTATTCTTCTACCTACAATGACCACAGAATAGATTATTCAATTTTTAGCAGCATTTTACACATTTCAAAACAAGTGCCTCCTAAGTTTTCTCTTTTTCTTAAACTGCCTCATTCCTGGTTTTATTTTGTGGGTTCAATTTTTCTAGACTTCTGAGCAGTCTCATGATTCTCTTCTGGACTTAACTGGAATCCATACAGAACAGTGTTATTTTGGTGCCAAAAAATTCTGATCGGTTGAAACAGAGTAAAAAGGCTTACAATTTTATGACTAAGCATAAAAATAAAACTTAGCCACAATAAAGCCTGTCTTTCCAAATGCGTGTTGACAGACATTGTCACATAACTGTATTAGCACTTCTAGAAAACTCTGCTTACCTTCATGAGACTCCCCATTTCTTTTTTCTTGCATTGCAGCCTCAAAGTTAAGCTGAAGGATTTTGTTCAGAGTGTTTATCCATTCTTCCATTTCAAGTTCACTGTCTGCAGCTAAAAGGTAACTACTCTTGTCTTGCATCTTAAGCTCAAATGCAAAACGTCTGACTTTATTGTTCTAGAAGAAAATAAAAGATCTTTATAATATCTTTACATTCTGCCTACTCAATCCAAGGCAGTTATATGTATTCCAGATCTTTTAACAAATACACTTTGAACAAATGTACTATAAACTTCCTCTCTGACATTTGACCTTTTGAAGTGATTTGTACCACTGCAACAAGAGGAAGCATGAAACATAACAGTCTCCCTTCACCCCTCTACTTGTAATCATTTTTAAAAACCAAAAAAATCCAATGTCCAAATATCTAGTCTTCCTGTACTCAGATCATCTAGAAATGAAACTAAGATCTACCAATTAAGAAAAAAAAAGAAAAGCATGAAACTCTATTAATATTTGAGTGAAAATCATCTGCACATCGGGATTTTACACCAGAGGTTAAATCATAACCAACCTCAACCCTGAATGCCCTTATATTGCTAGTCTTTTAAATATACATGAAGCTGAGAATCAATTCCTCCATTATTACCATCCTTTTTGCACAGTTTAAATCAAGACTTCAAGTACTACCTAGCTTGACCTATGTTCCTGGGAATGAATTCACAAGTCTTAAATGAAAATTCTGTATTATCAACAATTTTAAAAACAGATAATTAGGTAAACATTAAAATAAACAATAAGGGAGATTTAATGGTTAAGGAATTTTTTGTATATGTTAAATTAAATGCCAAATTACATTTTAGTTTCAATACACCTCAGATTTTTCAATTAACAGACTAACTATTGGTTGGCAAAACTGTCAGCTTTCTACCAAAGATGAGTTTCTGTTAAGGAAAATACAAACAAAAGTACAGACTCCAGGTCCAAGGCAGTCTTACCTATTAAAATCAGTACTGAAGTTAATGAAAAATCTTAAGAACGGTAACCTTTAATTTTCACTGTATACAACCTTGAACACAAGTGGTACATAACACACTTCTCAGTTTTCACAAATCACTGAACTAGAAGAACTATGCCAATATATATGACTGTGTGTGTGAATATGCATATACACTGCATATATTACGTGACTACACTTCTCTGTGATGCAGAAAAGTCTCAATCTACTTCAGTATTGAAACAGAAGAAAAAAAAAACCACACAAAAAAACCAACAACCCCAAACATTTTGGAAATTCCTATAGTTTCATTTAATATATTTAAGTTTTGGGGAAAACCAACTCAAACAAAACCACACAAAAAACACCCCAAACAAACAAAACAACCTCCTATTGCATGTATTCAGCATTCTTCTTCTACAAGTATTGATGAAGGAGCATATTCTGCTCTATTCTTTATCTTTAATGTCTGTTAGTGAAGTCAGTATTTTTCTCTCTTGTGCAACTACTGCCCTTGAAAGACAAGTAAGCATATGTACTAAGTGAACTCAGAAATGTGAAAAGTTATATGAATGCAATAGGAACTAATCTCTCTCACCAAAAAGACTTACTCTGAAATAAGTAGCTTGATTTTGTGAACAAAAGCTGGTAAGCATATCTACCTAAGACCAACCACCATTTCTATGAATTCCAAGTCAAACAACTGCAAAGAACAGTCCCTGGGGTCTCTACAATTCTTTATTTTATTTTCCTCTTCCATTAAATAGAAATGGAATTTCTACTGTATAGAGATCACTTTTTTCCCCCTATATGAGTTTCTAGATGCTAACACCAATAATAAGTAGCAGTAAAATAATGAATAAAGTAAGATCAGCCAGAGAAGAAGGATACAGTACATAATGTAAAATAATAAAATCACACATTTGAAATAGGACCATTATGTATAACATTTTATAGCTCAAAATCTCATTTATTTGCCCTTCACCAACAGTTCAAGTGAAGAAAATAGCTATTTCCCCCTTTATTCTAGCCATTGAATCACTTCTTGGCTTCATAGAAGTGACTTCTTTAGAGAAGACTCTTTCGAGGTCCCTTCCAAAGCCCTAACATTCAGTGTGATCTGAGTGACTTTCCATGCAAAGTATCCACTAAATGCGTATCCAAAACCATTATTGCAATATTTGGAAAAAAATAATCCTCTGTTAAGCTGCTGTATTTCTCTGCATAAACATTCAAACAATTTAATACTAAAAAAACATTATTTAAGGAATAATTTTTTTAAAACTTTGACTATTTCTATCCAAGTTAACAAAATCCTAAAACCCAGGGGTTTATTCCAGGTATGCTGCGCCTAACAAAACAGTTACATGCTGTACTGTAAATACATCACAGAATCAGAAGAGAAAAAAAAATTCTTTTCTTTGGCACTTGCTACTGACAAACATTCTACCAAAGCCCTTAACTTTTTAAAATAAGGAAAAGCACATAAAAGGAACATTATAAAAGGTCAAACAAAAGCATCTGGAAGAGTAACTCAATTTAATACAATTCCCACTACAAAAAAATCCCACACAAGAAGCTGTGCAGAACATTTTACAGCTCACGTAAACAGAAGGTTAATTTCAGTTACATCTCAATTTTATGCTATAATTACTTTGCCATGATTTAAGGCTGGTTTTTTGTGTGTGTTTGCCTTAAAATTTTGTTCAATATTTTTGATACATACTTGACATCAACTAGTAATTTCTGTTCTTTTCAGAAAGATTTTTAAAATTCAGCCTCCTGCTCTTTAAAATCTCATCTACTGTTTTTGCAAGATGCAGTGTATCTAATTGTTCCTCTGCATAACAGGCACTATTATGCATCTGACAAAAGTTATCTATAGTTTTTTTTAAAATCTATTTGCTATCAAATACAGAATTAACTTAAGAACAGGCAGAATAATCATAATTACCTGAACCACTCCCATGCATGAATCTAGAAATATTGATCCTTTAGGTTCTTTCGATATTTTTTCATCTTTGTAGAAATTGAGATTATAGGATCCATCACCAAGTTGGATTAAGTGGAAAAATCTTCTTTTAAATGACTAGTGAAAAGAAAGGAGGAAAGAGAAAGAGTTAGAACACTAGTATTAATCAGCTTCATATTACAAAACCCTTAAGAGTTATTTACACATAACCTAACCAATATCCTCAGAAAATAAAACAGAAATCATTCATTAAAAGTTTAAAAAATCATTTTAAATCCTGCAGCAAGATTGTACTATATTATTTGAAAGTATTTTTGACCCATTGTGTTTAAAACTGACTCCACAGTGTTATACATAATAGATATTTATTGTGATAACAGTAAAATAACTTATTTGTTTCTAAATAAAGAGACAATACAAATAAAATCTCATATTACATAGTCCCTTTTCTACTAATAACACACCAGGGTCCAGTTAATAAAATTATTTCAAACACTGGACTTCTCCCACATAATGGATTTTTAATGCATTTTTTTCTGATTTAAGTAGAATAAAAGCAAAGTAAGATTTCACAGCTATAAATTACATACAAGCTTCCCTCTTTCATCGCACACTATTTTTTTTAGAAGTAAACCACATACAAATTGACTTTTCAAAGGCACACTGGTATTTAATACTGGTGTTCGGCATTTACCACAGCTAAGACATTCTTAAACTTACTCTCATTGTCACACTGATTGCACTATTCATGTTGCCTTTGTAGAGCCATCCTTGTTTTGTTATTCCACCCTTCTGAGATCCAAGAGATGCTGCATCCTAGGGATGAACATGAAGAAAGGGGAAAGAAAAAAACAAGTTCTGCATCACAGTCTGAAACTGTTACATTTATCAAACATTTTAGAAGACATTTTTAAAAGATAGAACAGCTCTACTCATAATGTAGTAATAATAATTATAATTAATTATTATTAATTATTAT